TTCCTGCTCAGTCAATCCCCTGAACTCTAGGGTAATCAAAGTTGGCAAGAACCTCCCACAGTGTTCTTCGGATGTACTATAATTTCAATCTGTATATGGGACGCTGGACCCGTTTTCCAGCAGGTGATGCTCCCCACCAATAGATGGAGCCTCTCCCCAGGTGCTTGTGGTGTATGCTCTTATCAGCATCACTAACACTGGTGGGGGTGTTTTTCTAAAGAAAAATAAAGAAATAAATAAATAAATGAAGGAAACCATGACGTTGTACTCAACTCTCTCGGAAGCCACGGTGAATTGGAACAAGTTCACTTACTTGTTGCCAATTGATTTCCAACTGAGTATCGAATGGGGGATGAAGAGGGTTGAAGAAGGGGAGGAAGAACGTTTTCTCGGTGTGCTAGTTAGCCTACAGTTGGAATCCACAACACAGGGTGTCCTGCTACAACACCGGATAGAAGCAAGGCTGCACCTTTGGGGCTTGACATGACACCTCTCTATCATTGGCCGAGCATTGGTCTCTAACGCAACGCTGTTCTCCATTCTCTGGTTTGTATCACCTATTAGAGAACTAGCGGAAGAAGTCCTCACGGTAATCCGAAGAATGGTAGCCCACTTTCTGTGGAAACCAATAGCGAAGAAGAATGAAGGTTTCCTGGTTAATATTGCATGGGAAACCCTCACATTCCCGCGGGACCAAGGTGGGCTAGATCTGTTAGACCCAAGCAGGCGCAGCCAGGCTCAACTACAGTTTTGGATCTGCAGAGTAGCAACTGCCAACTCCAAGGAACACTGGGTGGAACTGGCAGAAATGATTCTCATGACGGAGTGGGAACTAAGCAGGCCGGAGGACGTTTGGGTATGCTTTTTCATCGAGCCCTTCAGAAATAAGAGACTGAAGTCCACTTTTTTGAATGCGGTAAGGAAGGCCTGGAACAAGGTGCCTCCAGACTCACAACAACCACCCCAGACAAAGGAAGAAGTCCAAATGCAGATTCTTTTCGAAAATTCAGCCATAGTGGATCAAAATGGGAACACGCTCGAGGCGGATGGTTCTACAGTCTCATTCGGTCTGACATGGATAAAGAGAGGGGTGGTGCGAATCAAAGACTTGTGGTCAATCTTGTTGGGAGGGTGACTACCTCTAGGGGAAGTGAAAGCAAAACTGCAGGGCCTGAGGCGGATAGACGAACACTGGCAAGCAATACATAAAGCCATCCCCCAAGATTGGTTAACCCTGTTGGGCCCGGAATACCTGGTACCACGCAGAGGAGGAAAGAGAGTCGGGGGTAGTCTGGAAGGTGGTGGAAACTATGTCGAGTGGGTTCAGACGAGTCGAAAGGTGGAGATGCAATCAGCTATCCAAGGAGTTGGAACTTGTAAACGAAGAAAGGGTGCTAATCTGGAACAACCCACGCCAAATCAGAGTGGTGGAGCTACCAACCAAAACAGGGAGATCAAGAGTATTGTCCTGGGTTGGAAGGGTGCCTCTGATCCATCTGTCTATCGACCCATGGGCGTGGGGTTGGAAATTGCAGTCGAGGGAGTCGGACTTGCTGCTGCCAGTGAGCAAATACTCTGTAAGGGCTGGGTACGAAGTGTCCATAAAAACAGGGAAAACTGCAGTTGCGATAGCTACAGCCAGATGAGAGAATCTGCTAGGGGAACCCATCTTAGACGCGGAGCAACAGTTCGCAAAACCGTGGAGGATTCTGGGCACGCTCCCCAATGGAAGTCAAGTTAGCATTTTGTGGATGCTATCTCTGGTGGTATCCCCATCCGCAGTCTGGCTGATAAGCAGAGGTTTGCAAGTGGAATTGAAGTGCTCGCACTGTAACTGGTCGTTCGAGCCCACAAGGCATCTGTGGTGGGAATGCCCAACTTCCAAACGAATTTGGAAATGGTGGGAACATCACTGGAAAGAAATGGGAGGAGAAGGGGTAGAGTGGAACAAAGGTTGGGCGCTACAGGGCTTCCTGTCCACAGAACAATCAGGCAGAAAAGGATGAAGCTATATTGCTCATGTGGTGAGAGGAATCTTCTGCAAGGTCATCTGGGCAGACAGGAACAAAGCGAGGTTTAAGAGACGGCCTCTCTCAGACGCAGAGATCAAGTGCAAAATCAAGAAGAGCCCGAAACAAGTGATCAACGTAGACAGGCGGAAAAAAGCGAAGTCAGGCAAGGGGAGCCAACTTCAGCGACGCTGGTTCCAGAGCACCTGGACAAGGAGAAACCGATTAGTGGAAGTGCACAACAATAGGAGTCTAGCTTTTTCCAAGTGGATCTCGAAGTCAAATAACATAGAGAATGGAGGGTAGGTAGGGCAGCAGGCATAACCAGGACACTCGATTGAGTAAGGCCGCAGTAGGGCCGTAGGGACTTGGAGTGTCCATAGGATGCGGACGTTGTCCTCTGGGCCGAGCTAGTCCCATATATTGTTTTGAGTCAGTAATAGATTTTAAATTTTAGACTTAGAGCAGGTAGTAAGCCTTAGTTTCCCACTGTGGGACAAGAGCCTCTTCTTCGGTAATGATTCTGTTCGGTTTAAACCTCAACATGTACAAAGCACGGCATTAAAGTTGGTGTAAATATCATTCGTGATGTGTCAGGTAGTATTCCATTGACTCCAGAGTTGGTTAGCAGGTAGTAGAGCGTTTTTTTTATGGAAAGATAGGTTGGAACTCTTTAGAGTCCAGTTCTGCAGGCAAGAGCCTGTAAGCTAAGCTGGCTGATGCTATCAGTACTCCGGGTAGAATTGTGAGGTCCCCGACCTCGAATCGTTATTATAAGGAGTCGCTGTGGTAGCAAAATGGCCATCCCCGTGGCCCCCCAGGCCCCTGACAAATGCTACCCTGTTTGCAATTTTGGTGGTCCGAAAACCCTAGTGTGACTATAACAGCATAGCAGATTTTGCGATTTAGCAAAAAAAAACGCTAGTGTGAGTATGCCCTCATTATGTGGGTCTAGTAGATGAGTGATCCCACAACCTCATGTACCTTCCTGGGCAAGCTTGGCGCCCGCCACCTAGAGATATGCCGTTGGTCCCCCCGAACGGCATTGAGCAGAGACTGCTGATGTTCATAGGGGGAGGGGACCGGAGGGGAGGCACAGTGACTGGCCCATCGAAGAAGCTCGGTCCTGATGCTACCGGTTGACCCCTGGCCGGTATCGCCCACCTGCTGTAGCAGGTATCGCACCTGCTGGTGGGTGCAACTCCTGCATGTTCCCTCGTTGGAGGCTTGAGCACGGATGTGGCTGCTACGGGGTTCCCCGTAATACTACAATGACAATAAAAAAGGCCTGAGAGGCCGTCCTGTCCAGATTTGACAGGTAGTTGAATTGGTTGGGCTTAAAGAATTAGCCTTTAAAAAAAAACAAAACAAAAAAAAAACAGCTTGTCATCATCGGTGAAGTTTGCCCGTTTGAAGGGAAGGGGGAACCTTTCCACCCAAGACTGGATAACCTTTCCACCCAAGAAGGGAGGCCCTTTCCACCCAAGACGGGAGAACCTTCCCTCCCAAGAAGGGAGAACTTTTCCACCAATTGTCCAGTTGCCGGGGGCTAGGTCCCACTTACACGAATCAAGCGATTTTGACCGTAGATAGCAAAGATCAACGGCCATAATCTCTTAATCCGTGCAAGTGGGACCTTGCCCCCGGCGCTACACCCTGGCATGCGCGAAGTCTTGTTGTCCAGTTACTGGTCGCTAGGTCCCACTTACACGAATCAAGCGATTTTGACCGTAGATAGCAAAGATCAACGGCCAGAATCTCTTAATCTGTGCAAGTGGGACCTTGCCCCCGGCTCTACACCCTGGCATGCGCAAAGTCTTGTTGTCCAGTTACGGTGCGCTACACCCTGGCATGCGCAATTTCTTGCGGAAAAGGTCTGCGCTTTAGGCGAAGCTATCGCTCGCGTTTGTGTGTGCGTGACGGTCTCGTTCTCTCGTTCTAACAGCTAACTGCTTACCTGCTTTGCACACACTCTCCCTAGCATACCTCCCTCCTCTCCTTCCTCTACCTCCTCTCCCTCCTCTGCCTCCTCTCCCCCATATGTAATGACTTGTGAATCCGTCTGTGGTCGGGAAGGTATTTCTGAATGCATGTGGTTGTGATCTCAGCACAGGGGGGCGAGGGAGGGAGGAGGGATCAAGAAGAAGGACGGCGATGGAGGGGCCGACAAGAAAGTATTCGGCTAGGCGCACTCGCAGGACATGGGGCGTTTGCTACTTAATGGTGGTTATGGCCATCGTCATTTTCGTGGCTGCAGAGGTCGGGCTTTTCCCTAGCAGCGGGGCCAAGGCCGATGAAGCTGATGCTGGTCGTCTGGCTGATACCGGTAGTGGTGGTGAAGGCGGTGAAGAGGGTGCAACCGAGCCAGGCGGAGTCGCAGCCACGTGGACTAAAGGCAATTCCCGCAACGCTTTGACAGCTAGGAGGGAGAAATGTGTACAGGATTTGGCTATGGACTCGACGGGGGCCTGCACCGGGTCACTTATTGATCTGGAGAACTGCGTGCTGAAGTGCATGGCGCCGAAGTGCTACGGCGAGATCTATGGTCGGGATCCCTTGGAAGAAGGAGAGATAGACGTCAGGGGGAGGAGATTTAGGAGGTGCGCTCGCGCGTATATCAGGCAGCTCCGAGCTCAGCACCTCGCGTTGGCGAAGGCGCAGCAGCAGCAGCAGCAGCAAAGGAAACCGTTTTCCGAGGGGGAGGAGGAGGAGGAGCAGGAGGAGGAGGAGGAGGAAGAGGAGGAGGAAGAGGAGGGGGAAGTGGAGGGGGAAGTGGAGGTCATTGGGGTCTGATTCCCCTCATCTGGTTGTTAATCATAACCATCGTTGTGTACATATATTCGTTCTAAGCTTTAGGGTTGCAGCCAGCCGTAACCTGATGATGTTCGTCGTCAAGCGATTCGTTCGTTCGTGTTCGTACGTACGTACTTTTTTTTTTTTTTTTTTTTTTTGAACTTCAATTCTTTTTCCGACTGTAGTAGTAGTAGTAGTAGTAGTAAATTTGCGTCGCCGTCTTTTTTTTTTTTTTTTTTTTTCCTGAAGAGTTTCGAGGAGCGAGCGATCGCGCCTATTTTGTGGAATCTCCTCAACTCAGATGAACTTTCGTGGTGAACTCTCCGAGAGTGACGAGAGGGAGAGGGGGAGGGAGAGGGGGAGGGGGCGGGGGAGATTGATTCGGTTGGGGGCCGCAAGGGAGCGGAGGAGGGAAGGGAAGGGAAGGGGTTATGTGGTTGTTGTTGTCCGGGCCGCCCCTAAACTACTGTTGAAATGCAGACCTGAGTTCTAATTTCACTGGAAGCAGATGAGTAAAAAAAATGGTACAATCCTGATGTACCGACTGCGGGTCAGTTCAACGATGACACATCAAGGCCACCATTTTTTTGGCCCTGCAGAGAAAAAAAAATACATGCGAAGTAAAATTTGTACGGGTCGTTTTCTGTTTGCCGGCGTGTGTGATGGCTACCTTGTCATTGCTTATTACAATTTACAGTAGTTTCCTGGTTTTAATCGCAATTCAAAGAGTCTCCTGTCTATACACCTTTATCCACCTTTTTTTTTTTTTTTTTTTTTAATCCACCTTTTATTTGCTTAACCCTTTTCTCGCTTTTCGCTAAGATCAAGTGTAGTTTCTGTTCGGATCACTGTATTATTGTTATGAAACTTACAATGAGAAACATTCCACTCTATCCTCTTGAGCTGCCGTGTTGCTTCCAGCTTTTCCGATATATGTGACGATATATATATATACATATATGATATATATCGTCACAAACAGAACTGCCCGGTTGATATATATATCGTCACAAACAGAACTGCCCGGTAAACCGTAGGCAGAGAGAGAGAAGAAGACAACAAACGAGGGGCTGTGACAAACTGTTTCGTCGGAGTTTCACCGACTCATCAGGAGGCTGAACCCTAACAGTCTGCAGAATCCCCTCACTGATTACACTGTAAATGATAATCTACCTTAACCAAAATCAAAGT